ACCCTGAAGATCCAGCTTTCTCTTTCCGGATGGCTGAACCTGAAAAGGAACATTGATATTTGACTCTTAAAACATTACTTAGGAATTTATATTCAAACAGGATTTGCCCTGTAACACATCTTTGCAATCCATACAGTGAAATTTACATTCATGCAAAACCTTGCAGTTCAGCAAATGGTTAATAAGTAAATGAGTGATTCCGCTTATTATTTCCTTAGTCAATAAAACTGTGATCAAATGACAAAAGAAATCACTGGAAATATGTTTCAGAAATTTAAAAAAACTGCAATTTGAAAAATATTTTATCAACTTTTATCTCATTGTCATCAAAGCTTTCAACATCTCCTTCTCCTGTACATATAACAGCATAAATTAATAAATGTGATCATGTATCTTCACAGTGAAGAACATTACCTTTCAGTATAGGGATCTGTGGAACAGTAACCAATGGTTTCCACACTATTTAATCATACTCAATATTACACCTCAGCGATAAATGTTGGGCAGATCAAGGATTTAGGACATGAGCAGGTTGGTGGGACTCAACAGAATCCATAACAGCAAATAAATAACTAACTGATCATTGTTTTGTAAGCTGCTCAATTTTTTCGGTTTCCTAATTTGTCTTGTTCTCCCTACTGACAAAGGAAATCACTGCAAATTTGTTTTAGTTAAAAAAAAGGAAAGAAAGAAAAGAAAAACCTGTGCAGCTTGATAACTTAAAACTATTCTGTTAGAGATTTTATAATCTTTTATCTGTGTCATCAAAGCTTTCGACAGCTCCTGCTCATGTACCTATAATAGCATCCATTAGTGAATATGATGTGATGGCATTTACAATACTTGTGTAATATATCTTAAAAGTGAAGAACGTTACCTTTAAAAACTTGAGATTGTTCTTGAATTTTGCCCGTTGTTCCAAATTTGGGATCAAGTTATCAATGTCACAATCTTCAAGAAGGTAAAGAAGTTCTGTGTCAATGCGTTCCTCTGTAATTAAAAAGTGAAGTTGAACATTAGTCCCACAAATAATTAATTTCATAATTCTACAGAAATCTATTTCATAAGGAGTGAAACAGCTGTGGGTACAGGTCACAGAGCTAACAGAATGGTTGTCTGAGCTGAATGCATGTTTTTTGGGTTTTTTTTTGTATTTTAATAAGTAGTTACTGTCTTCAGTTTGGTGTTAACTGCATCAAGACCCTTATTTCAATAAACCATAAGATGCAACATGACAGACAATATTTGCCAGGACTTGGCGACATTCCTGTGGTATTATAAGTGTATAACATCTGTGTCCACCAAGGAAGCTTGGTAATACTTTACCTTGAAATCTTTCTTTCAACGCGCCAAGGCCCCATTCAATTAATTTGTTACGAACAAAATCATCCATGTCAAGAACAGCAACTAGAAGGTAAACAATTATATTTTAATTCTCCTTGACAGTTATGATGAATTATGTATACTTGAATGTCAATATGTGAAATCAAAATCCAGTGGAGGGTACACATGAAGTCAACTGCTTATATGATACACTACATAAACATTTAGCATCTGTGGAGCACTAACTAATGCAGTCATTGTGTGATTTCAACACCATTTAAACATACTCACTATTACACCTCAGCCATAAATGTTGGGCAGATCTGGGATTTAACACTTGGGCAGTTTATTTAGGACACTGAGCACAGTGCCTACAATCTCCAGTCATGCCACAATAAACCGGCTCTTCCTTTCTTGCACTCTGGACTTCTGAGGTTCCAAATCCACAGTTAAGAAACACTGAAAGATCTGGTAGTTGTGTTAGTTGCTAAATTAATTTGATTAGATTCAACTTTATACATGTACAAGTACAAGGCAACTAAACACAGTTTAGCGTCTAAATCTGTTGTCTAATTCACAGAACTATAGACAGTACATTTATTATGTATAGTGCTGCGTTCAAATTGTAGTCAGAAGTCCAAGTTCCCATTCAGAAATTTCAACTAGAACGGCCCCTGAAGTCGGATTACCAACTCAGAAAGTTGAACTTCACTAAGTTCCTCAAAACTCCAGATGGCTGCTCCACACATCAGCAGTAAAAAGCTGTAGTTTAGTAGCACTTGTGTATTATTTGTGCCTCATTAAAACGGTCATACACACAATAGAGTCCCACTTTTATCCATGAACATGTTACTACAGTGTATGCATGTGCATGCGCAAAATACTAAATAATGCACTATTATAAACTGGCACAATTCATTGTGAGAAACTTGTATTTCTAGCATTTTTAACAACAGTTAACCTGACTCAAATGGTATTATTGTTAACCTTTAAATGGAATGCAATTAGATACTCTTTATTATATCTCATTAAAATAGTCATACACACAGTATTGTCCAATATCTACTTGTGACCATGTTGTAGTGTTTGTATGTGCAAAACACCACATAATTGGTATTAGCAACAGCTAAAATGGTACAACTTGCAACCGAAAACTGTAATCGCTCCTTTTCATAACA